GAAGTAGTGTGAGCAATAATGTAAGAAACAGTTTGAAAATAGAGAAGAAAAAGCCTGGTAGCGACAACAGAAGGGTATGAGATATGGGGAGGGTTCCAGTGGACACCCGGGGCTGAGTCGGAAGGATGGCAAGATCGCCAGCGTAGATGGCTTGCCCAGCCAAGGAGCAGTGGGCAGATGTTGGAGAAAGAGGCGGGCTTGTCGGAGAACACCCAGTGAGGTCTGTCTTCCTCGTGGCCTTTGAGGAAAAGGAGCGTTGTTCATGTAGGGCCAGTGGGAATGTGGGGTGCAGATCTCTGCTGAGACTGTGGAGTCACCTCGTTAGAGGTGAGACTTGCGCTGTGGGTGAGCAACCGTGCAGAGGGTAGGCTGGTGTGTGCTCACACCCAGGAGCACTCTGGTGCCCTTCGGATCCGTCTCTGCAGAAATGTGCCTGGTGAGCTCACTTTCTGGCAGCTCTTCTGCATTGGCCTCCCTTCTCTGGAGTCAGGAGCTGAGTGCTCTGGGTGCTGGTTGGCCAGATGGCCTTGGTGCTGGCAGTTCGGGGCTCACCCTGTTGGTTGGGAGCCTCTTGTAAAAATTGGTGATGGAAATGGTCATGGTTTGGCAATAGTGATTCCCAGAGACATTCTGATTCTACCTTTAAACCTTAAATGACCAAAGGGTGTCGGTGGATGTGGGCATGAAGAACAAGAGGCGTGTTGGCCACTCAGATGGTCTTTATTGAAGACAACTTCAAATGAGAAAGGATACCAGAGATTTAAATTATTACAGGGGGAATCGTAACTCAAGGAAAACTGGAATAGTGGTTAATTTTTTAATTAACTGGGTTGATACAGCAACCTTTATTCATGTATCAGTACAACATTTAACTTTTAAAGGAAGCAATGATAATCTTCTCAGTAGAGATCTCTCATCATCACATGTACAACACTGGATCCTTTCCATCTATCCTAGGTTTGGGAAGAAAAAGGACACAGACCTTTCCCAAATAAGTTCTTCCAGGAAGTATTGGGGGCTTTTTGTTTGTTTTTTGAGAGATTTTTTGCTGTGGGTTGTGTGTATTGGCCAGAGAGACAGACAGACAGACAGACAGTGAGAAATCATCCCCCGGTGGGTGGCTATGCCACAGTCTCTTCTCCTCCATTCTCCTCTTGAGATTTTTGGCACTCATGCACATGCGCCCAGTGTGAGTTTTAAGCCACTGGGTCTGGGACTCGAACTACGGTTGACTACATGGGAATCCGGCAATGTAACTAGTACACCATCTGCGTGGTCCCTCTCTGAATTTATCTTATACCATAATACAAATTTACATGAAGCCAGCATGGGTACCTTTCCAGTGCTTTATTCTTGCTTTGCATTTTGATTTTGGGCTTCATAAGCTCTCAGTCAACTGAAATGCAGTTTGTATTGAATGGCTCAGGCTCCTCGCAGGGCCTCAGTGTCTGGTTCCTGAGACAGGCAGCGACCACACGCACAGGGAGTCGAACGTAACTTTCTGAGTGCTGATGAGGATCCCTGTTAAGCCTCATCTACACCAACGTTAGACACATTGGCTTCATCCTCCCCAGACCTCATCTGCTATTTTATATTCCTGTGCCTGCACCGTTCCTTCCAGCTATTCTACTGGCCTCTGAGTCTAAAGTTAGAAAAGAAAAGCCTTCTTACACATCCTGAACTACTCAGATTTTTTGATCTTTTTACGCACCATCTTGCCACCCAGCAGCATTGACTTAGGAGCTTGTTGGAAATTCCTCACCATGCCTGAATCAGAACCCGCAGTTTCGCAAGGCCTCCAGGTGGCTTAACTACGTGTGTACATGGAGGTTTGAGAAGCTCTGGTCTGTGACAGTGGTCTGTGGGCCAGACTCGCATAGCAGAGCTGCAGGATGGTGGTTCTCCATTCTGACTGCACGTTGGGATCAGGTAGGGATCTCTGATTTTGTTGGGCAAGGATGCCACCTGGATGGTGATAGCGGTAAAGCCTCCCAGGTGATTCTGATGTGCAGCTGAGGTTGTTGGCACCTTGCTAGTCCCAGGTGTGGTTTTCTGGCCAGGAGCATAGACATCACCCAGGACCTTGTGGATCTCGGACCCCTGCATGGACCTGCTCAATCAAATTTGCATTTTAACCCGTTCTCAGTTGATTCTTTAGCATCTTAATGATTGGAAGGCACTCACTGGAAGCTGGTTAGAGGCCACATAAGAAGCCGGGGAGGTGGCAGTGGTTGCTGAGGAGCAGGCTCGGAAGGGAGCTGAGCTGCAGTGGGGAGAACTCTCCTCACAGGTTTGTAAAAATGAGTGAGCTGATTTCTTGTGTGGTCTTTGGTGTGTGGTTGTGGCATGTCCACCCCTCCTCTAGAAATGTAGGGTTGTGTTCCTGCTCAGAAGCACTGCCGTTTAAAGGTGAAGAGGGTGGGTGCTTAAGTCAGACCGCTTCAGTTCAGTTTGTAGTGAACTGTCAAATTTCTGATGTGGGAAAAGGGGTAACAGTGGACTCGCACTTAATGAGTACTCAGGAGGTATTGGCTGGTGTTACCCGTAATAACAGAACTTGAGCTGTTACCTTTAAAATCTGTCTCCTCAAAGTCACCCGTTGTGAATGGACTGTGGGGAGGAGGATTTAGGATGTTGCATGTCTATAATTATAATTGAAAGAGCCTGAAATGACTCGAAGGTGGCTTTTAATGACCGTTTGTTTTATTGTCCTTATGATTACTCTATTTAGCCACCCTACCTCACCATGAACAGGGTGACATTTTCTTGCCATGAGTAATACTGCAAAGCCTTTCATGTAAACATAATAAGTATTGAATAATTACTGGGAAATAAAAGGATACAAGTTCATTATTCTTGACATTCTCTGAGTGACCATTTTAGGATTGATAATGATGGTATATAACGTGGTATATACTTAGGTACAGGCCGGTGGCCTTCTCAAGTCTTAGGTTTGGGACTTGGAGAACCCCTTGCCAGTGGCCGTACATTCTGGGCTCTTTTTTTCAACCGAACGAAGAACTTGGTAAGCCATTGTTCTGGACGTGAGAGCTGCAGATGAGGTACTTTCACGAGGTACGAGGTACAAAGCCCAAGGGCCAGCCACAGGGTTCGAGGCTGGCTACTTCCAGCGTGGGGTATCTGGAGGCCCTTCTGGGGTGTTGCTTTCTGAGGTGACCTCTGAAGCAGGAGTTGGATGTGCGGGCAAGGTTGAATTTCCAGACAGAGGGAGCCGGGCTGCAGCAGATTAGTGCCAGCTGCTTGGGACAGTTGAGCATTGCGAGTTAAGGAATTCTTAACGTCTTTGCCTGCTGCTCTGTTCTCCTCCCAGATGGAACAGGTGCTGCTGCGCTCAAGAAGGTAGCCATTGTGTGTTTGACTCTTTTGTTTGCCGGAGGGCTCATGCCCTCATCAGAGAAACACAGACTGAAAGAGAGAGGGGAAATGAGGAAGCAACCCTCACCCATGGGTAGTGGTCATCCCTCGTCCTTTCTCCTCCGTTTCTCCATCCTCTTGGGATTTGGAGCACACGTGCGCACACACACACACAGACACACACACGCGTGTGCGCCTGGCACGTTTCTCAAACCATCAGGTCCTGGGTTCCAACTTGGCAGTTGGCCACGTGGGATCTAGTTGCCTTCACCACATCACCAGCTGGCCCCACAGTTGAGTTTTGAAAACTTCTGTAACATATTAGGCACATGAAAAGGGGTAGAAAATAATAACCCCCTGTGATTTCACCATCCTTACGTTAGAGCTAGGAACATTAGAGATGAATCGCAAACTCCTGTGGGTGTCTCCCAGGTGCAGTTCCCTTTCCCTCCTTAGGGGGCAGAGTGACCCTGACATGGTATCTGTCCTTGTATAGCTACGTGTCCTTAGACATAATATTAATTCACAGATGTTATATAAATGCTGCGACACTTTCTTTTGTAATGCTTTTTTTTTGGCTCAACCTTTCAAATTTATTCTTATGCGACACTTTCTTTTGTAATGCTTTTTTTTTTGGCTCTACCTTTGAGATTTATTCTTGTTGACTTATAAACCCCCAGTTTATGGTTTTATTGCTCTGTAGTATTCATGATGTGAATGTATCTTGTTTTTCTACTTAAGAGCATTTCGGCTGTCTTATATGTCTGTTATCTTGCAGAGCCTGGCAGTGTACACATATCCGTGGCTGCTTGAGCTCACAAGGAGGTGTCTCTAGGCTAGGTGTATATTGAGAATAAAACTGCTGCTTGATGATTATAATCCTTTTCTGGTGAACCAGAGCATTGTAAAAAGGTCACATTACATTTTCTTTGAGTCCATATAATTTTAGCTCCTTCTGTTTATAAAGTAACTCTTAGTTCTCCTGATCCTAAGTCCCATAGCCCCTTGCCCCTACCCCCCAACAGGAGCTTAAAGAAATAGCATCTGACAGAGAACAAGCCAGCATGGTCTCCTCTCCCTCTAGGGGCACTGATGCAGATCTGCGATCCACTAGCTGGGTCTGGCGGCTGCCGGCTCCTGCTCCCTGCTTTCTGGTCCCCTGATGGTCCCTGGCAGTTGTCTGTGTCTGACAGCTGTGAGTGTTGCCTGTCCACTCTGGCGGTCTCAAGCAGGACTTGAACTATAGGACAATAAATGCTTTCACATCAATGCTAGCAGAAAAACAGAAAACTAGCAACGAAAATAGTGAAACACAAACCATATAAGATGACGTGTAAGTTTAACACAGCCACATTTTACAGACTGCAAAGGAATTAGATCTTTATGGCTGGAATGTGCAGGAGGCAATGATGGTCTTTAAAACAGTACTTCAGAAACCTTCGTGCTGTTAAAGAAAAGCAGTGCTGAAGTTTCCTTTTTTGAGCATGTCTTCTGGACCACAGCAACAGCTGCAAACAAACTGGAACAGCTGCCTCTCCTCCATCGTCAGCTCTGTCTGGCTCATAAAGAGTTAAGCTGGAGGTTTGTGAGGTCATGTGTGACTTCACTGGGTCTAGACTTTTGAAGCGGGTCTCTTGGAGGGAAGCTGCCTGTTGAGAGGGGTGGCTGGAAAGAGGGGGAGGATCGACTCCTTCAACTTCTTGCAAGTTCCCATCCCGCAGTCCCAAGGGACACAGCAGCGTTGTGGGAGAATGTCACTGTGCAGCCAGCGTGGAGCAGTGCGTCCCCTCCACAGAGGCAGCAATGGAATCTCAGTGGAGGAGCCCTCGCAGATGAAAGTTTGCTGAGCAGATGGAATGGGGCATGCTGCCTACTCGTGAGGAATCAGGGCCAGACCGTTTGCTGACCGAGGTAACCGGAATTGGTTTATTGTCTTTGTCTGGTCCCAGGCGTTGCTGGACTGATAGATCACTGTCCTTGTAGAAAATTCTTTAGATTTTGACGTATTTCAAATGGAAAACATAAATGTAAGGAGGTCTTAGGGAGAAACTTTGGAAAATCTCAATTCATATCTATTATTTTTAAATAAGGGTGACAGACAGGGAGAGTAAAGCCTCTCTGGTTATGGCAGTCTGTAATGTGTGGGCAAGGCGAGCTTTCTCCTCTGTTGGTGGTGTGCTGCTCAAAGGGAGCCTAGACCAGGCTGTGGACATACGCGCAGCCACTCTGCCAAACTTCTTCCAGGCACTGGAGCTTGCGTGGTCCCTGACTGGGATCCTTTCTGAGTACTGCACAAGGGTGTCATTCTTATTTTGGCGTGCCACTGTTCTGAAGGGGAAGTTGGGTGTAGTTGGCTGTATTGTTAGTGTGGAAAGACGATTCATCTTAAAATTCAGCGTGAGGTTTGAAACTTCAAAGGGGCTAGCTGTTATCTAATGAAAAAAGACGCGGGGAGCTTTTCTGCAGCTGAGGCCATCGGAGTGCCGCAGCGCGTATCTGGGAGGGTCTGTTTTCATGTGCAACAGGCACGGATGGGGCAGGGCACAGGGGAGGTCAGTGATTCTGAAGGAGGGTGAGCATCATCCATTGGTAACTTGTCCATGCTCGAGATGCCTGGCTCAGAGGTTTGCGACCAACCAGACCCAGCGAGAACCCCTGAACTGGACCTCTCAGGGCAGTCAGCTGATCATAGCAGGTGTGCTTTTGTGTATGTATTGGTTAAACTGGCATTTCTTGCCTTGGTTGCAAATTTTAAGTTGCTATTTCCAAGATTGTATAAGGCCATTTGCCTCACTAGTCCATCAGTATACATGCTTTTGTTTCATAGCCTTAATAATAAAGATGAAGACTTGGAAACAAGAAGGGGGCATGAAATATGTATTTCATGAGAGCCACAAGCATAGTGATTATGAATTTGGACCTAGGAGTCATAGGGTTTAAGTTTTACCTCTACTTTTTTTTTTTTTAATTTTTTTTCTTTTTTTTTTCTTTTTTTTTTGGAGGGGTTTTTT